ACTACACAACTAGTCATAATATAAATCACAAAAAAATACTTCTTTCTTCTTATAAAGAAAGAGTGGCTAATGCAGAAGTATTTGATGGAGAAAAATGAACGTGCACGTTTCATGATAGACAGAAGAAGAAAAAGCAAGAGAACAGCAGACTAGACATCGTCTAGACATGATCTTTGTCAATAAAAAGAAGAGAAATGGCATCAGGACACCATAGCACATGAACACAATGGACTGAAATGCGTTTATATAGGTGTTAGAAGCATGATGAATGCTCACTTATAATATTTTATTTGGTTTTTAATTCTAGAAACCATAAAAAGTTCAAAAATGAAGTTTACAACTAAAAAAATTAAAATATAAGTTAAATTAGAGAAAAGGTTTTCTAGAGATCCTCTAGAAATCCATGACTACGTAATATGTGAACGTTGTCAAACCCTTACGTTTGTTCAACTTTGAATTCGCTATCGATTGGCGTTTGAACCAACTTTTAGTCCCTCGACTCTAAGATTCCAAATCGCTTCCTTCACGAATTTACTAGCTACTGAACAGCTATTGGCTGATTTTGTGCAGATCCTGAATGAAAAAATTTCATGAGCTCCTATTGTTATTTTAAAGTGCGCATAATATTTGAAGGTTACTGTCAAAAGTTCAGCGCATAAAGAAGCAAAAATTTTCGATGGAAACTGGTTTTCGTTATAACCATAGAAATGGGTATTAGTAATGGCCGTTTGGAACAGCGAAGAGTCCAGCGTTTAGTCCTAGCCATAATGGTCTAACGAGATACTCATCACGGGTTTGGGAGCACAATGAGGCAGGAAAAGATTTTTCAAAGAAATAACATGAGAGAAGTGGAAGTCTTATCAAGATATTACCGACAGATAAAATTCGGCTCATCGAGTTTCACTGAAAATTTAGTGGTCGCCACCTCTGCATTAGCTAGTAAACCTATCGGGTAAAACCTGGAGTTCATCGACTATTTCCATCATGTACCTGTGTTCAGGTATTTGAAACTTAAAAAAAGTAAAACTTTTAATATTTCAAATTAAATTTAATAATTCGTCTTTTATGTTATAGATATGAATTCTTTTTTAAAATGTTCGTCTTTCGATGATGAATCCGAATATCGTATTCAAAAACTTTTTTTTGACGCTCAGTTTTTTGCAAAACTCACTCTTTTCGACGCCTATACCTAAAAAACCACAGTTTTCTGGAAACCATATTTCCGAAGATTTTAAAGCAAACTTTCTAGAGACAAAAAGAAGGAGCACGTTGAGAAACCCTTATAAACCAAAGGACAACTTGATTCGTTCAGTCATTCTCAAGATCGCCTATACCAACTTTCTCATGTTACACGCCTATTGTCCACGGTCGGTTATCATTTGCCCTAAATTCTGGTCCCCAGATTCATCCCTACATCGTGTCCCCATTTAGGGACAATTAAACAGTTATGGTCAATAGTGGTGACCAAATAGGGACTTTTATTCAGGGACTTTTCAATTTAGGGACTTTTTTTCAAATACACACTATACCACATAGAACACAATTCAACATCATCCTCTACCGTATGAATCTGGTCACCAGATTTGACATCACAATGCAGTACATGCGAATAAGATCTGTGTTTTATCAATCTGGTCACCAGATTTGACATCAGAATGCCTTACATTAGAATAGCAGGTCTTCAGTCAATGACAATACGAAACATGTTTAGAGAATAGTATGGATACTGAGCTGCTATTCGATTCTGATATATATGCCATATCTTATATTTGAAAAAAAGTCCCTGAATTGAAAAGTCCCTATTTGGTCGCCAGAATTGACCATAATTGTTTAATTGTCCCTAAATGGGGACATGATGTAGGGATGAATCTGGGGACCAGAATTTAGGGCAAATGATAGACATTCTTGTCCACTTCACACATCACACGAATCATAGTCCTACAAATTCAAATAGACTTGGGAAAACGAGATATTTATTTTACCAGAAAACTTATATGCAGTATTGAAAATTTGACTTTAAAATTTTCTCTCTCGTACAGTAAAATTTTCAGTCAGTATATAGTCAATATCTTCTCTATCTCGAGTAAAGCTTCTGAATATGTTAGTTTTCTAAATTAAAAAATTACCTTCAATGACATCTAAGTATTGACATTTAACATTTAAATCTGTAATATTATTTGAATTCAATAATAGATAAATTAAATCAGAATAATATTTTACAGTTATATTTAATTGTGTAAGTGATAATGAAATATCAAATATTCGAGATAAATGAATATTTTCTATAATAACGATTGATAAATTATTTTTATTTGAAAATAAATATCGACTAACATCTTCATTAATAGAACTTGAAGTTTTATGTGGATTACCATCAAATAAAATATATAAATAAGAGATGGTTAATGTAATTGGTGAATAATCAAGAAAACTTTTATAATTAATTGATAATAATGTTAAATTAGTTAAATTCGGAAAATCAATTTTTGTATCAGAAGAAAATAAAAATTCAAGTTGCTCATTTCCATTTAAGACTAAATGTTTTATTTTTAAACTGATATTATTTAATAGAAATTTGTAATTCAGAATATTATTGTCAAATATTAATGGTACTGATAAATCAACTGTAGATTCAGTAAAATTTGTTTTAATTAATTGATATAAACGCTTATTGTGTATACCATAAAATGAATAGAATATATCGATTTTATTTTGGATAAATTGAAATATGTATAATAGAATTTCAGCGGGTAGATCGGTCAATATCATTTTGAGAGAAATGGTATCTTCTCCAGAAGTTTATTGTACCAATTGAAGACTATATTGTATGTAGATGAGTTTATATAGTGCACAGAGAGAGAGAGAGTGTGTGATCGAATGTGAGTGGTGTAATAGAAAGGACCAGTTAGAAATCATTGTGTAAATTCATTACACAATTGAATGTCATTTTTAAAAATAAACAAAGTCTACAGTAGTTATGTTGTATCTTAGCTGTTGAAAAGAATGTTTCACTTTCGAAGATACTTTTATTGATAAATTGTTCATAACGTTTTTATTGTTTGTGTTATTTAGATAGATTGAAAGAATAATCAACTCTTTGCTATTATGGGACTAGTCTAATTATTTTCTTACTCAATAGTCAGAGCTTTCGTTATCGTATGATACCTATCGTCAGTCTATGACAGACACTTCTATCGTGTACATTTCCGATTCTGTGTATTATGTTCAACTATCTGGATTACAGAGCGGAATAAAACGATGAATAATATTCAAGGGAAAGAAAATATTCTTCCACTTTTTTGTGACTACTTTGCTCTCTTCGTTTGTCGTCGATGTTTTCATATCTCATTTTCTCTTTCTATTCTTCATTATTCTCTAATATATAGTAAGGTCGAAAACTTCTTGAAAAAAGACATCTTTTTCACGAGTCATTTTGCTTTTTTCCATTTGAGGTTGTAATTAACTGTTTGGTTAATCTGGCATGCTTAAGACGTCTTCCAGAGTACTGACCAATGCAAAAGAAGAGAAAAAAATGAAATGTCAAACGAAAAGCTTTTTGAATTTTTTTACTTGTTCAAGTGACTATTCTATATAAATAAGTGAATAAATGGGATAAATGGATCTGATTGAAAATGACAATCTTTTATGAATGATGATCTCATCCTAGTATGATGATTGACAACATGACTCGCTTTATTTTTGTGAATGGAAAAACATCTGGAATATAAGATAGATTAATTTTTAATATTGAGTATTTGTTTTTGATTTCCACTGATACAGTTTCCCCGAAATTATTTTCCGTTCACGAAATGAAAAGTGGATCAGTAGAATTTCAATCCACTTGAACGGGCAGGCTAGACACTATCCGGGTGTTTCTAGAACAGATAAAGAAAAAGTATTGTGCATCTAGTTCCCAAGGTCAACTAAAAAGAGGTGTTCCTTTTTTGGAATGAATTTTTCTCGTTCGATGTTAAATTGAGTATCTAAGTACGAATCAGCGAGGAAAAGCTGAGGAAGCCGATTTTTTCGGACTTTTCCTTTTCTGAGTAATTCCAACATATACCCACGGATCAGAAATTCTTTTAACATCAAGTCCGCGTTTTTATTTGAACCAGTACGCGATAATAAAAGATCTTGATAATGTGGGGCTAAACTTCGCAAATTGAACTCCCTAATAGCAGTAGGGACTATGTTGGGATTTGTTACGCCTACAGGAGAAAAAACTGGTACATGCATTTTATGCATAGTGGCTTCCACACAGCTTTAACGACCCTGCTTATTTTTTCTTAATTCCATATTCATTGACAAATATTTGAATAAAGTATATCTAAGAAGTAACTTAGTTTACCTTCAAAAACGCGCGAATATTTAAACCAGTATCAACTTTTTTTGTTTGACGATAAGCGTCCATTTTGAATCAAAAGAAGAAACAGCCTACACATGTGACTTACGCATATCGATACACAACTTTTTTTGGAGAAAAAGAACATGAATGGTTTGTCTATAGACAAGAGAAAGAGGAGCACAAAAACAAACGAATATTCAAGAGAACTAAGAGTTTAATAGAGCTCTACCATTTAGTGCTTTTTCTTTATCTCGCATACGACAACATTCGACCACATTTGTTAATGCAGAATGAAAAAGGAAAAAAAATTTTTAACATGAGAATGAGTCACCACATTCAAACGATCATCTACACGAGTTGTTCTACTGTTGACACATAGATCATGCAGAAAGAAAAAGATGCAGACAAAAAGATACAACAGAGCTCTACCATTTAGCGTATCTTTATCTTTTTCTTGATGTCGCATGCAGATATCTGTATGTCAGACATAAGGATACATACAGAAAGGAAAGGGTGATCTGCATGCGACATCAAGAAAAAGATAAAGATACGCAAAATGGTAGAACTCTAACATCATGCAAACATAAAGATGCAACATGATACAGACATAAAGATACAGTATCATGCAGACATAAAAAAGATGCAGATAGAGCTCTCTTCTTATATGACGTCATTCCTTTCTGCAGAACAATTCCATCAATCACTTTGTCCATCATATTTAATCTATAAAATGCCTTCCGTGCTTAAATTTTTCAGTCTTCTGTGTAAAGACATTCCAAGTGTATTTTTTTTATTAACTACGTTTTAATTTCACCAATCAATTTGAAAAGACAGATGAACTAGAATTTTTGTTTCGAGGAGCGGAACCGGCAAGGAAAAGTTTTGGGTGCTGGAATCAGTTTGAAATACTGGAAGCCTAAGAGACAACTTTGCCGATTTATCGGAAAATTTTTGCGAGAAAAAACCCTCTTTTGGAAAGTTTTTGCAAAATTCTTGAGCTATTGTGTGTAACTGAGAGTCTCAGTAATCGGATGAAAAAAAGAATTTACAAGCAATTTAGTATATAAAGCAGAATGTATTATACTGCTAAGATCTCCTCATTTCAAATGCTAAAGTCTAAATCCTTTTTTTCATTCTATTACTGAGACTTTCAGCTACACAATGGTGAAAGACCTTTTGGAAAAAGTTCAAAAATAACGTTCGAATACTGAAATTACTCCGCTTGTAAAAGTAATTGCTGTATGGAAAGAAGTTTTATTTTCACTTCTACTAGGAATGATGATTCATCGAAGACATCATAAAAGAGAGAAATATAGAAAAAATATTCTTTTCATTTTCTCGCATGGGCAGATATATCTCGCATGCAGAGTTCTGTATGCCACATAAGAAAAAGCACTAAATGGTAGAGCTCTATTCATCTCTGCCATGCGCTTTGTGTTTTTCGGTCGTATACGTATTGCTTTATCTACAAACAGAGACACACGAATAGGGACTTTATTGTTAAACAAAACTGTATGTATAGAAAAATTCCTTGTTGGATTGTCGCTGAAAAAAGCGTTATTTGTATTATTTTAAAATCTCAAAAAGTCTATGATGATAGGATAATGAAAAATAAGGTAAGACTTTTGTTTTTGTTCGAAAAAGTACATCATTTTGGTTTCTACAACAAAACGTATTAAAGTTCAAGTCGATGTATCTAATCACACATCGTTATCAAATGAAAATGTAATAATAAAACCCGAAGGTAGAGCAGTAGGAAGAAGATACGATAGGATGAAGTAAAGAGCTGCTGTAAACATTTTTATTTCGTTTTATTTTATAAATGCTAATACAGCAAAAACAGTCGCAAAAGATTGTGTTGTCCATATGATTGTCATAATGCAATCACACTTCTCTGTCAAAAAAATACAAACGCTCTCCTATCTTGTTAACTGTCTATATTGAATGTAGTAATGTTTTTGAACAGTTAGAACAGAGTATCTCAGAACTCGATACTAATTGAGAGACTTCAAGGGTTTTGAATCAAGCTTAGTCCCTCCCATCTCACATATGTACGTTTTTATGAGCTAGAAATAGGTATGATAGTTGAAGCATATTAGTATTATATGTCACCTTATTTGAAATACTGTCTCTCTCGAAACAAAAATCCCTTTTTGTGGTGTTTCTTGATCTTTTCTGCGCTAACGATTCCGCTCCCTGCTTCATCATCCGATTCGTATGATACTAATTTTTAAAATAAATATGGTAATTGTTATATTATACTATACATTTACTATTATATAATTACTGGAATTACAATTAAGAAACAACATAAACGTAATAAAATAATTGCGAAGTTTTTGTAATGTACACATAGAAAACAGAGAAGAGAAAAAAACCAAGAACAGTAAAAATTTAAGGATCTACATACACAGAAGCTAAGATTTGGGTAAGGTTATCTAACTGTTTTCGTAAAATATCTAATCGAGCCATATTATGATTAGTTACATTTAGTTCTTTACACATTTTTTCAAGTGATTTAAACAGCATATAACCTGTTTTTTCTGTAGGATGATCATTTTTTATTAATTCTAACAATTTATCATTATTTATAATTGAAGAAAATTCTCTTTTATCACTATCAATAATTAATGTTAATATCCACAAATCTTCTGTTCCAAATGAATAGGAACAATAAATTTTAACTTCTTCTGTTGTTTGATCAATGGTGACTATCAAACTCATGTCCAACACATCATCAACGTCCTAAATGGAAACAAAAGGAGGATATAGTGAACCTTTATAATTGAGAGATATAAGCGCGTTATTCATTTAAAGCGCATCATCATCGTTTTATATTATAAATAATTAAATCATATACAGACTTATAGAATAGTTAGGCACCACAATGAGTAAGCCAGCCAGTCAATGCTCGCTTAATACAGAGAAGAAAGAGTAATTAATCACCAACTAATACACGCAGAAATGGTCTCTACTGGGCTTTTCGACCATCTAAGAGGATCAAACGGTATCTAAAATGTGTATAAGGAGAGTTTAACCCTGTCGGGTTCTGTCCGCAGGGTGGTTGGCATCTAGTATTTGGGTCTTTCATCCTAAACATACTAGCTTGTAAAGTCAGAAATGGCTAACAGTAGTCAACCATCAACTTATACCACCTTTCCATCAAGTGGTAGTGCAAGAAATTTTATTTTCTTTGAATCTGGCACCATTACTCCTGATATATTCAAATGATACCCCGGGTTAAGTTTTTCAAATCTGTTTTTGATCATATTTTTTCAGTAAATAGTAGTCGCGATGCCGCATCTAGGAGTATGTTTTTTAGTGTCAGGAATTATTCAGAAGAGAAGTTATTCAAAAAACAAATGTTTTAGTATCCAGTTGAGAGAAAAAGCTTTCCATTTTTCCCATCTAACTCAATGACATAGATTACATATCAATCGATTCTGGACACCCTACTCTATCTTTACATGTGTTAGGTACATTATATGAGCATTAGTTGTTAGAATAAACTTCAAATCTGTCATAGAAAATTTTTTTTCATGTATACAGTTCTGCTAAAAAATAATATAGTTTACTAGAGAAGGCTCGCCCCAAGAGCAAACTGTCAAAAAAATCATTCTCACATTGAGAACTACAATATCTGGAAGTATCAAAGAAACTTTTTTGAGTACATTAAATGTATGAAAAAAATTTAAAGCCTTCGCATATCTTAAAAGTTAATGCATTTAGGAGCTTTCATTTTTTTTGATTTAATAATGCATTTTTACATATTCAATTCGTTGAAATGCCTTATTAACTATACCATTTAAACTTATTAAAGCTTTTAACGAGTTCAAATACGTTAAAAGATTAACGCGTTAATTCCCAAGGCGTTTGGAAGTATTAAAAGGATAAAATTATGCTTTTAAGGCGTTTGAACGCATGAAAAATTGTAAGAAGTTACGTTTAAATGCGTTAGCCATTAATGCATCTGGAGGTGTTGAATTTTTAAAAATGCATTAGGAAAATGAAAAAATTTAAGGCTCCTACTTGCATTGACTTTTAAGGCATGCGAAGGCGTTCGTTTTTATTACAAAATTATTTTTTATTCATTTAATGTGTTTAAAGGTAATAAACGTCCGAAATGTAAATTTTTACGCATTCAAAGGAAGTTTTTGGTATCAAAGAAATTCATTGGGTCTTTTAATATCTGCTAGTTTGTAGTGTAAACGTTTCTCTACAAAACTGTGTATTTGAACAAGTTCTTGAACTTGACGAACATAACTTAAGCGATAATGCAGGACGAATGGAATAAATGTATTCATGTTTTGCAGCTAATTTGTTTTGAAACTGAAATTTATTGGAATCATAGCTTTCGAATCGACAGATTCATCTTCAGTGAAAAAACCTGTACGTATGTCACGAAAATTCGTCTACAGTTACCTGTAGACGAATTTTCATCCTCAGTTTCAAAATAAATTAGCTGCAAAACATGAATACATTTGAAGGACATGCTTTTTTTCCATTTGTAGAACCTGATGGTTATAAAAACATTCTTCCTCCTCAACTCATATCTCCTACTAACTCCAGTATTCGTGTAACGTTATGGTTTTACCCTTTTTTCTTTCAGTTGCTTTTGCCAGAACCGCTCCGCCCAGCGAACCTTTCGTATACAAAAGTTTTAAATAAAGTCATAATCTATATATTCATTTGAAGTGCGTATTTTGTAAAGGATTAAGTAATACTCAGTAATTATTTGAGACAAAGGAACAAGTTCATCTTTTCCCATCATAGAAAACAAATTATTGGTACCAGCTATGTCAGGAACAACTACTCTGTATAATGATCCATTAGTTGCCTTTCCCAGAATACGATTGGATTTTGAGTAATAAATTGGATTTCCAAGCTCAGGATTGTTCGCCGCTAGATATTGTAAAAACTCCGAATAACCAAGTTCATCAGCGGGAACGATACAATCATGCAGCATTGTAATGAAGGTATTCAAATATGCTAATGTAAAAATTCTGTTCTGCTCAGCAATCGGTTGAGGGTTACTGGAGTAGCGTATTTCTTCAAAATTCGAGTGATGGTGAATAAATACTTGTTTGGGACCATTATCAACTCGAACAATAATTATGATAACTAAACATGTTGAAATACCACTTGTGCCTAGCAAGACGAAATACAGTAAATGAATACGGCTTGTATTCAAAAGTCAATGTCCGTATTATGAGACCTGTTACACCTCTCTTTCCCATGTAACGGTAACGGTTACCGGTAACTGGTAAAATACGGAACACGGTAACGGTAAACCGGTCAATTATCGTTACCGTTGCATGCCTATTTCCCACCATATCTCCATATCTCAGTGCTGAGTTATGCAAAAACTACTAGTTTTCAAATTATCAAAACTAAAAGTCGCATTATCAGTCACTATAAGATGAATAATGGTTAAATATATATGTAAAACATTTAATTTGTGCTAAATAATGACAATCTAATTTATTGAAACAAAATACAAGAAAGGTTTAGGTTTACTCGGCCTAATATTTAACTCATTCTTTTTTTTCTCTCTAGACGCTCTGTATTGTGTTTCGTTATTCCATGAGAAAAATCGCGTATGACATAGCAATTCATCAATGAATGTTTTTTATTGGATAAACACTAGCATAAAAATAGAAAATCTAGCTTCAATTCGTTTATTAATCTAAAGTACTACGGTATATTCTTTCTTTCACCCTGCAAAATTCACGGTAGTGCACTTGTGTTCTAGTTCCAAATTTGAGATTTTACTAGTAAACTAGACATTGTCCAGATGCCTGGTGAAGTACGAGATCATGATTAATTAAAGTCACGCTCCCAGGCCTTGCACAAAGTCACTTCTTCCTCTAATGGAAACGGCATTTGTTGGATCGGAACTTTCAAAAAGTCCCTTATATTTATTGCGATGTTGTTCCCCACCGGCTTCCTCTAAAACAAAACTTTAATCAGATTTGTTCATCAAAAAAAGACACACCAGGATGCATTCTCTAATAAAACTGAGTTTTGATACAGTTTTGTTATTCACTAATGATTTATAGTTTTAGCGCCTTTAAGCTGTTAAATAAACCTTGTTCTACTCTCTTTCGCAGCAAAAATATTTTTACCTAGATTATCAAAGGAAATTTTTAAATGAGCTGGTGTTTCGTCGTCCATGTCTACATTAGGAACATTCACAATATCTAACAATGATAATTCTTGTGTTTCTGGATCAACATGTATTTGATAACCTAAATTAAATTTAAAATTATTGAAAATATACTATGTACAAATGGAACTACAGGAAAAGAAGTTATATTAACAGGAAAAAAATCTTTCGATTTTTTTTCCCTGATAAACCTGTCAACGGTAGTTGACAGTTATCAGGATCAGATATACTGAAAGACGAAAAGAAGTCTCATCCATTTCATTTAGAAAGCAATTTCAAATATGATTTCTTACCACAGTTTAACATTTGATTATT